AGAATGTACCTATCCTCTCTCTGTAATACCAATCAGGACAAGGAATCCGTACACTATCTCTCCAAGAACCGGTTCTGAATTCGAAAACCTGCGCCGTGGAAGAATCAGACTGGTCGATAAACGTTACGATTCTGTAATCGTTGGAAACCGGATCATAACCGAAACCAAGAATGTTCGAATCTCGGTATATACCGGGATTCGGTACGATCTTGAACCGGTTGGAAGATGGATTCCAAACCAATAAAGTGTGATTCTTTAAGGTCACACATAACGTCCCATCACAATGAAGCACACATGTAGATTCATCAATCATGGACTGATGTTCCAAAGGGAAATCAAGCTTACGAGTTGTTTCTATAACCGGATGCTTGTCTTCCACGTCAAGCAAGTAGAAACCATTGTCGTAAAACGACACAAACTTCACTGGAGAAATGTCACGGTACCTTTCAGCGAAGCCACGGCTGTTGATAACATCTCTCCATGTCTTGCAGACGCATCTGAATCGAGCAAGATCCTTTATGGTTAGTCTCGCGAGAATCTCAATGGCTAGTTCTTCCGAGAGATATTCCGACATTTTATGTTTCTTTTTTGTTGTTAAAGGATTGGTCTATGTTGTTATTTGCCTGTTGGTTCTTTATAAAAGTAAATGCACAAGAAAAAAGTTTCGTGCGTTTGAAATGTGATTAGACTATTACTCCAAAAGGAAGATGTGGACACCTATTCCACGTGTTCACGTAATCACTAACGTAACTTTACATGAAGTTTATTATTTATTACAAAAATGCCTTAAGATCAAAGGCTCGCGCAAGAGAAACGCATGCGTATGATATCATTGATTAAACGTAAAGCTTAGAGTTACTAGTATTAGTTTTTGACATTGATTAAGGGTCTAACTGGTGACCAAGGAATGAAAGGGAAAAAAACATTCCTTATCATTCCTAATTTGTTTTACCATTTATAAGGATTAATTTTTACTTTCTATTCCTTTTCATTCCTTGTATTCTAGTGGAATATAGAACAAATTTATTCCTCACCAAAATTGTTAAGGAATCATTTTCCTTTTCGTTCCTAGAATTTTATTCCTCTATATTTTTTTCCTATTCATTCCTAATGTTTCTATGATGGTCACCAGTTAGACCCTAAGTTGCACTGAATACGCTTACGTCGTTTATAACGCAGTGTGTGTTTAGATAAGAGAGGCTTTGGGTGGAGTCATTGACCAAACCTCTTGCAATTTCATTAATTTGTTTAAAAGAAAATGAGAAGACCGTTGAACGTGAAAAAGTCTCAAACGACGGCAAAATTGCGCAATTGGTTAAGTATTTTTTCTCTCTCTTGATTGATACTCCTATTGTGTGTGTGATCCCGATGATAACCATGTGCAAACAGAGAGTAGTATCAATCAAGCACAATGGGTGAAGTTTTTACACACTTTATCGTTTACAATAGCTATATACCCTGAGATTAAGAGAAAATATTTAGGTTTTGCGGAATTCTTAAATGGGTAACAATGATAGTATAAGAAGCGTTTGAAGTTTTCCATGAGATGGTAAGATCAAGCAAACACAAAAATAAATTAATTAATTTAGTGTTTAGAATATATAATAGCTTGTTTTTACAAATACCCGGCTGCTAATTAAGTGCTTCTCGTATCCTATAGTTTAGTCTAGTTTCTCTAGTAAGAGCTTGTTTTTACACTTGCGCCTTGTTAAAAAATTAGATTTGGAAATTGACATGAGGAGCATTACATGTTATGCTTATAAGCATAGTTGTTTTTAGTTTGCAAGAGTGTTTCGAAATCTTTAACTCCCGTAATCATTCAGATATAAGAAGCATTCGTGATGTTGGATTTGCTGGCAATGAAGTCACGCTTGAAGGAAAAAAAAAACTTATTAGCCTCTCCTATGGACTCTTTTTGCCTTGAGTTTTTCATTGGACTAGAAACTGAAATAATGTCTCTTCCACTAGAAGAAAGACAGAGTTTGAAAAAAGTAAGATATCTCAGTTTCTCCTCTTCTTCATGCTTATAACGCTCAACATGTTTTGTGGTAGGAAAGTAAAGCGATTATGTAAATATTATGTGTGTTTATCCTAGTTGAAGAAATAAATTTGGTGATTGATGTTTACGCTAGCCCTTGATGTGATGAATATAGTCGCTTTCTGAAGAGAGAATATTCAATAGAATGTTTCATAAATTTGAGTACTGAAAAAAAACAAAAACGTACCGTTCGATTAATGTGATGGGTGCTTGGTGAGATGATACGTTAATTGACTTCGATTTACATTTCATTTACCTACCGTTCTATTCACGCATCTGTCATTTGGCTATCTTCTCAAGGTTGATTGCTAAAACTATTATACTATTGAACTATGGTCTTGTTCTAGAGAAAACTATACAAAGCAAAAGCTTGCAGTCACATTATTAATGTCGTTTCTTCACACGTTTCTGCTGTTTCTTTTTAAGGCTTAACTAGTCAGTGTGTCGTCTGGCATTGGAGGAGATTTTACACAATTTTTTTTGAAATTAGCTTTTACACAACTTTCAGAAGAAAACCAAACTGTCAAGTTGCAGGTTATCTTATGTCACAAAATAATTGCCTTCGCTTTAATTTAGATCAAATCTTCAAAATATGTAGCACATTTCTAAATTTATGTCACAAAAATAACCAAAATAACATTTTATCTTTTAAATTTTATTTTATTTTTAAAAATTTGAAATCTTATCCCCAAAACCTCACTTCTCAACTCTAAACCCTAAAACCTAAATTCTAAACCCTAAACTTTAAACCCTAAATCCCACCCCTTAACTTTAAACCCTAATGTCTATATTAATTTATCATTAGGATATAGATGTATATTTATCTCTTTTGATAAAACATTAAATACTATTTTGGTCATTTTTATTCTTAAATGTTATATTTGTAACAAAAAATAATTTAGTGTAATCCTAGTCATTTTCTCTTTAATTTATCGTCGATCTCAATAAACCGAGTTACAACGTGGTTGTACTTGTACTTCATTTTATAGAGTCTCGAAAGGTTTTTAAAAGAATACATACATGGAGCATTTTTCTTTAATATCGTGGTTAATTATAATAAGGTTAACTAAGAGCAGTTTTATTAAAAACCTATTGATCAATAATGAGCTATTAGCCAAGTCAACAGATCTAAAACTGGAAAGATTCTTGTGAATGGAGGGCAAGACAACGAAAATGAAGCTTATTAAACTTTTGAGATTCGTATAATTCCACCGGCCTACAACCAATCACAAACCGTCATTGTTTGTCTATATAGTATAATATAGTTATGGATAAGTTAAAGATGGGTTATCATTCAACTAACTAAGCTTAATATAGATATATACAAGTTAAGAGAATAATGATCCATCTAAACGACTCTTGGCATATCTGGTAAGGTGGCAGCAATGAACCTTGTAATTAAAGATGTCTTGAGTTTCTTGAAGTAGTAAAACCATAGGAGTAGAAGAAAAGTGTGTATATATAGACGTAAAACAATCACCACATGTCATTCTCATCTCAACATAACACATGATTGCCTAAACATTCATACCAAAAAACACATAACATATGATTGTTTTTGAGGAAGCTGAAAATTTCTCTTGCTAATTCTAAAGTTGGTGATAAAGAAAATAGCATATTCTAAACTAATCGCAACTAATATACATCTCTAACGTAAAGACCTAACAACTTTTTTTTTTTGAATCATCAATATATCTACATTCATCGTATGTTCTTATTTAACCTCAAATTTAGATAATTAACGGATTTAGAATCCAAAAAAATTATGTAAATTAGACGTTAATGAGTGTTAACGTTGTTAAATCCTTTTGTTTTAAAATGTTATTTTAAAGTTTGTTGAAACGACAACCACATCTACCTAGCTTTGGATTCAATAAATGTAAAGAATGTACGAGATGTAGAATCAATGAATATGATGGAGAATGTTCGTAGAAGGGGTAAATAATGGAGGGACCCAAGATAACATTGTGAAATGGAATATAATCATAAATGGGTCACATCTTTAAATCTGATCAAATCGCACGGGAAAAAATGAGTAGCATGTCACATGCATCCACATCATGTTTTGGCTGATCTATCACCCATACACATTGATTACAGCTCACACTGTCGTTCGTATCCATTTGTTTTCTTGTCTCTCGAGTCCAATCTCATCTTTATGTTCTATATCCTTTTTCGAATTTTGAAGCGCATTTGTCTTTTGGGTCCACCACCACCACTTTAATTTCAATCACTTTAAACCGGCCAATTTTCTACTAAAACGAAACGATCCGATCCAAATTGTTGTCTAATTTTTGAGACATACGCCGCTCTATGTAAGTAAAACAATGTCAAACAGTTTATTTTCATGTAACAAAAAACCGGTACATAGCTCGAAGTTATTTAAAGAACGTTAAAACATAAGTTTAATTTCCAAAATCACATGTTAAAGAGCTTCCAAAATGTATGTTTATATATTTTTCTGGAGTATTCCACGTAAATTTTATTATTTTAATGTTTTTAGGCAACTTCCTAACACAAGTCACGAATATAGAGAAAAATGAAAACACACATGAACTCAATTATTAATCTGTGTCTAATGACTCTAATCCATCACAAAAAATAAACTCATAATAATTAGTTTTAAAATATTCATTATGCATGGATATATGACCATACGCCTATATAAAAGACAGTGGCATGCAAAAAGTCTTATCATCTTCTTCATTAAGCATAAAAAATCAAACACTTTCCTCATTTTCATTCGTCGTCTAAAACAATGGCTGGGATTGCCTTTGGTTCTTTTGATGATTCTTTCAGCTTAGCTTCTCTAAGAGCCTACCTCGCTGAGTTCATCTCCACTTTGCTCTTTGTGTTCGCTGGTGTTGGTTCCGCCATTGCCTACGGTTTGTAACTAAACATATCCAAATAATCTTTCATAATCTGTAACAATGGGTCCATTATACTTAATGAATGTGTCACATTTATCATTTATGTATATAGCGAAGCTGACGTCGGATTCGGCTCTTGATACCCCGGGACTTGTTGCCATCGCAGTGTGCCATGGCTTCGCACTCTTTGTAGCGGTTGCAATCGGAGCCAACATCTCCGGTGGCCATGTGAACCCAGCCGTCACTTTTGGCCTTGCTCTCGGTGGTCAAATCACAGTTATCACCGGAACTTTCTACTGGGTCGCTCAGCTTCTCGGCTCTACCGCTGCTTGCTTCCTTCTTAAATACGTCACTGGTGGTTTGGTATGTCCTCATCTCAACGTCCTTATTAGCATAATAAAATAACAGATTTTGTTTCCACCAGGCAAAATTAATAGAAGAAGAAGTCCGTCAATTAAATCATTACTAATGAGTTCTAACAAAATAAACCTTTTAAAAACAAATAAGTTATGTCCAAAACTCTTTGTAGCTTTGTTGGTCTACAAAACATAACAACTTTTTTTGTTTTACATTCGTCTATGGTCTTGGAAGACAATCTCAAAAAAGACTTCTTCATATTCAATAGTTTTCGTTTGTCCATTTATGTATACTATATACTAGACATGTGTGATTTAATTGT